AGGGGGGCACAAAGAAATACTTTTCTTTCTTATTCTCATTTAAAATGTTTTGCTTTTAAAAAATAATTACCAGAGTCTTACAACAAACGATTGATAGATTGATACATATATACCATCAAAACAGTGTACATCACTGTCACAACAGCGTTTGTTTTCATTCAAAGGCTTTATGATTTTTCCTATAATGGTTTTGACTGGTCTCTAGTCAAAATGCCCGGGACAATTTTCTGTCCCAGTCCAGCTCTGTATGCAGCTCATCTGCAGTCTGGTGTTACCTACATCTTCCTATTCAGAAGGCAGAATTTCCGACTTCTGAGTACAATCGAAAGCACCACGACTGCAGTTTTTGTGTTGGATGTAAAAAGCACACATGTCGCTGTGATGTAGGCTAGAATCATGGCGGCGGTCAACAAGAGAATTCTGAGTAAAACCAAAGTTACTTTCCCTAGTAACTAGTTACTTTGAAAGTAACGAGTAACTTGAAGTAACTGAGTTACTTTTGATAGAAGTAACTAGTAATGTAACTAAGTTACTAATTTAAAGTAACTTACCCAACACTGCGTATGAGTGCTGCTGTTTGACTGAGTAAGAATAAAGTAGTCATGGTAAGTGAATCACACGACCACATCAAGATGACAAAGTTACAAGGTGATATATACCAGTTTTTAAATTGTGTTGAAAAATGGAAAAATGCACCATGTTGACCAATCAAAAAATTATATGGCAACATGACATTTGGTTGTTTAGGAAGAGGAGGAAGTTTCAGGAGTGACGGCGAGAGAGAGCGAGAGCGAGTTTTGAGATGTGAGAGATTTGTGACCTATAGCGTGTTTGGAGTGTGTAGTTAATGTCTTGTCTTGTGTAGTGTTGTGGATAGTTTTGTGCTGTCTGTCAGAACAATGAGGTGGCTGCTGTCTGCAGGTAGAAAACAGGAGTGATACACCTGCTGTCAGACCTGCAGGTATCAGGCTGTGATGTTCTCCTTTATAGTGGACAGAAATTATGTTTTTGGAGTGGCACAAATAATTTGTGTGGCATTTTATTGAATGCAGAACACCTGATTGTTATGTAAATAGTTTGAAATGGTTATTTTAAGAAAAATCAAGGTAAAAGGTAAATGGCTGCAAATAACTTTGTTTCCAAAACGTGTGCATACGGTTTTAAAATTGAAAATGTATATTTGCATTTAAAGTTATGAAATATGATTCATTAAACATGTTTGTGGTTGTTACAGTAAAAAATATAACTTTTTCTACTCTGATTTTATGTTTTTTTTGTCTGATTTTAGATCAATTGTGTTAATACAGTATGTCAAAATGTAACTGTAAATTCAGACATGTGAGGTTGTGCTGAAAAAGATGATACCAAACAAGGCAAATAAACAGTTTTTAAAGGTGAAATGTGGAGGAAACATCAAAAGTAGTTAAAATGACCAATTATACCCTGGACCCCAGAGGGTTAAACTTTTTTTTTTTTAAAGCAACGCAATAGTTACTTTTCAAGTAATTAATTAATTTTTGAATCTTGTAACTCAGTTACTAACTCAGGTACTTTTTTTTGAAGAAGTAACTAGTAACTAGTTACTTTTTCAAAGTAACTTGCCCAACACTGGCAGGGAAGCGTCTCAGATTCAGGAAAGCCTATCTTGTCCTTTTTGTCTGTTGTTGACTAAGTGTGTGACTGGTGTTGAGGCTGTAAGGTATGGAGCCCAGAATTCATATATTCAGTGTCTTGCTGATGAAATGCATTACCTGATAAAAGTCTGGCAGGTGACCTTTGGGAATGATGGTGAGGTCATCAATGTCAATTCCCACCCCTTTGCTCTCCTCTAGTCCCATGGTATAAAAGAATTATGGGCAGAGGTTTCCCTTCATGCGTACCTTTCACTAAGTAAGAGCAAAATTATTGGCTACACCCCAAAACGTGGATCACTGAAATGAATCACAGTGACTGGAAATCATTAGACAACAGACACAAACCTGTGTGGTAAGGCTGGGGTGGTGGAACCAAAAATGGCCTGATTGTTGATGTGACTTCCGAATACACAGCTGACAGAGTTAAAGAACTCATTGGACCAGCTCCAACTAGTTTTCCACACAGCTATGTTCTGTCTCTGCTCTAACGTTCAAATAAAGTCAGTAATTGAAAAAGGGTTACTTGTTTATGCTTAATTTTGTCCTCTCCTTCATGCTCATCCTAATTCATGAATATTGCTCCTTTTTGGCTCTGCAGGAGCTCCAGTGTCAGCAGGAAGTCTTGATGAACAACATCTTGGCCCAGCAAGAGTTTAGGGTCTTCAAAGAGCGCTGCCTCCTTTCCTTTCAGCTCCATATGCCAGACCCTGTCCTCCCCAATCAATGGTATTGCCTAGATGATTATCCCAGTCCCCCTCTTTCCATAGTAGGATGCACACTAGAGCTAAGCAACACAGCTGAAGCAAGTAG